TATTGTATATTAGTATATTAGGACACACTCACACACACCACACACACACACACACACACACACACCACACACACACACACGAACACACACACACACACACCACACACACACACACATATGCATTGTGGGCAAATGTGTGATGTGTTGTATACACATATATTTTAGATTTATAGCTCTACCGAGACTCAGTATTTTTAGATGCAATTTCAAAATAAAGTGAGGTAAGTGAATAAAATGATAGATATTTTGATTGCAATACATTGTTGGAGAAGACAGGGGAATTTGTCTGTAACACCGACACAGGGCAAGTCATCCACTCTTGTCCTAAATGTTGAAGTGTAGATGTTGTATTTATTAGTAGCTGAACAAATCTTTGGAAAATTGATATTTGTCCTGTAGATGCTTGTTTGTCTCCTTTTATGGTTTCACAGACAGTGCATGATACATTTTTCTTTTTTTTCTACATCACAGCTGGACTCAGTCAACGTCGTGCATGGTGATAGAACACCACTGCTTGAATTTTATTTGTTATATCCCCCGTGGGGGACAGATGACTAAGAACTTTGTGATTTGTGTTTGAATTGCTGTTTTGTGTCTTTTGTGCCTTTTCTTAAATTGCTTTTTGTTTTTAGTGCATGTTCGTATTTTCTTCCCATTTTACACAGGAGAGGATGAAGACGATGATGATCAAGACTTTAAAGATGATGTCCTTCGCCTATATCTTAGAATGGACCAGTTTAGCAGGTATGGTGCAATGTTTAGATAGCTCTGCCATCCTGAATGATGACAGCTTATGGAGTAGCTGATGTTATAAGAAATTACTTAGGGAGGCAAAGAAGAAGGAACTTCAACTTTGAAATAAAGATAACGATAGTAGTTACATATAACCTGACCACACTATGTGATCCATTAATATTTTGTTGATCTTCCTTTGAATCCTGAATTTTTTGGATTTTATTTCACACTTTTACTCAGTTGAAATATCCAACTGTGCTTACTCTGCGGAACCTCAAAGTCTGCTTTATGATAATTTGAACAGACTTTTTGACACTCAAGATGTGCTTAGCTTTTATTATCATTCTTATAATTCTAATAATTCCAAATATTTCTATTATTTGGAACTTGGAACATATACGTCAAGATACTTGATTATTAAGTACTTTAAAATTTGCTTTTACTTAAATTTCCTGTCCATGAGTTTTGATGACCATGTTGACATGTGGCTATTTCATATCTCATACATTGATATTCCCCATGGTTTCACATGCTTAAGCAGCACATTATTTTGTATAAAAATGGAAACTGAATTTACAAATAAATAGATAAAAAAATAAAAAATAAAAGTTATGATACATATGACAGTAAAACATTTTTCACAATTTTAATTTAATTATGTCAGCTTGGGAAACTCTGTTGTGCCTATCGCAGTTTGAATATGTTGCCCATGTGTTTGCTTTTGATAATATCAGAGTTATTTATATCATATAATACTCTATTTCTCTTCTTTTCACAGCTTTATATTGACCAGCTTCTATTTTCAAATTAAAAGTTGATACATAACCATTTTTATCAAGTAATTATAGTACTACATTATATCCAAACATCAAGAAGTAAATTATAAGTATCTTCCACTGACCCTTATAGTCTCCATCCCTTTAACAGGTCATTATATATGGTTGTGTATAGATTACATATGTATCATATTTACATTACCAATGAAAATACAAATCACCCTTCATTTCTTCATCAGACAAATGCAACATCTTGAGGCACGGGTGACTTCAGATATTGCTCAGATCCTGCTTCTCCTTCAGCAACAGCAGCAGCATCAACAAAATCAGCAGAATTCAGTCTCACCGTCCCAGTTGGACTCTGATCAGGTATCCAGGATATTGCTCCCTATTCCTTTTTTTTTTCCTTTCAGTCTATTAGTCTCTCTCTCTCTCTCTCTCTCTCTCTCTCTCTCTTCTCTCTCTTCTCTCTCTCTCTCTCTCTCTCTCTGTCTCCCTCTCCTCTCTCTCTCTCTCTCTCTTCTCTCCTCTCTCTCTCCCTTCTCTCTCTCTCTCTCTCTCTCTCGTAATACACTTTTGTTCAAATACCCTTGTTCCTATTTATGGTATCACAATACTTTATATGTTTTTTTAGTCTTTTTAGTACCTCCTATTTATATGTATGTATATGTGTATGTGTATATATTATTATATATAATATATATATATAATATATAATACTATATATATATATACATTATACATATACAAATATGATTAGTATTTTAAATTTTCTTTTTGTTGCTAATATTATTCAGTATCCATTCCTTATTATTTCCGATCAACAAACAGAGTCCTTGAGCGTTCGTCTGGTGGTGTGGGCATTCCCCGAAGTGAAGTGGAAGAAGAAAAGCGGGTGTTCCGACAGGCACGCGTCTCTACATGACAGCCTCCCACACTTACTCTAGGCATCACTTCGTTATCTTTAGAGATCACACGTCCACCGTAAGTTATTGCTAGATTATATTGTTTGATAGCTTGATGATGTTTCTGTCAAGTTGCTTTAAAATCAAAGTGTTTATCAGGCTTGAATTTCACACCCTCTACGGGTGGAAACATAATACCAACTCTAGTAAAGCTTTCTTAAATGCAGTGCTCAGCCACCAAGGAGTTGATTAATAGGTTTACATAAACTCACCTGATTTCATTTTTACCAGGGTTTGGATTTTTTCATTTTGCTAATGCTTTGAATGGAAATACTGTTATTTCTGTAATTGATGTTATGACTGTTATTACCAATACAAATAGCAATATGAAATTAGAAAAAGAATATTTCTGAAAATCAAGAACACAATCAAGAGGTGAGATAGGTACAACTAGTGATTGACTCCTTATGGAGCCACCTGAGTGTCAACACAGTCAATAGATTAAACTCACATGCCATCCCTGTTCGCAGTCAGTTTATAGAAGACTGTTCTGTTCTTTATTATTTGTCATTATCTTGCTCTCATTTCAATTCATGGTGTATGACTGAAAGGAAAAGGATCGTCAATTGGTCCAGCCATCATTATTATTTTTATGCAAAAGTATGTACAATTTTGAAAGAAATAAGCATTTTACATATCAGGAGTATTATATTAGGTAAATTATCCATGCTTTATAAAACATTTTATATTGGTGGTGATTCTCAAGATCCATAGAGTTATAGAAGAATTCAATTTGTACTATGGAGTGTGATATCAGGGAGAAAATCACTCAGTAGACATCCATGGTTGGTTGGTAAGTGAGACGTATCGTAAAAGCCCCAACCCAGAACAATATCTGAGACACTGGACTATCAAGATTCCTATCTATTAAGTATATTTTCATGATAAAACGTCATTGAAAATTGCAAATGCATCTGTGAGACATTATTGCAAATAGTTTTAGGTCACTTGCACATACATAGGAAACTGCCACTTAACTTCATGTACTGCAGGTCATTGGTCTGTATTTTAAGAAATATAAGTATGGGTTATTGAGAACAATAATTCAGAGAATTATAAGGACATTTAGAATTTTTCATTGCATGAGAGATATGGATATTTATATATATATATATATACATTATATACTATATCTATAATAACCATATATAATATAGTATACTATATATGCATATATAATATATATATACTAATATATATATACATATACATAAACTAACTATGAATGACATATATATATATATATATGATATAGTGGTATATAATATGAATATATTATGTAATATATATATGAAATATGTATATATATATGAATATATATATATATGAATATATATATATATAATATATATATATATATATATATATATATATATGAATATATATAATATATGAATATATATATATATATATATATGAATATAATGTATATATGTATATTGTATATTATATGAATATATGTATATAGTATATGAATTATGTATATATATGAATATATGTATATATATATATGAATAATATTATATATGTATTATATTATATATATGAATATATATATACTATCTATATATATATATATATATATATATGAATTAATATATATGAATTATATATAAATATATATATATATGAATTATATGCTACTATATGTGTATATAATATATAGTGTTATGAATACATGTATATATAGTCAGTCAATATAGGTGTTATATATAGTGATTATACGTGATATATATATATATGAATTATATATATATGAATATATATATATACTATATGAATATATATATAATATGAATTTATATATATATATATGAATATATATATATATATGAAATATATATATATATATATATATATATATATATATATCATATATGAATATATGTACTAAATATACTAATTATATATAATTATATATATATTATATTACATATAATATTTGGTATATTATAGTATATATATATATATTGATATATGTAAAAAAAAAATAATATTAATTTACATATATATTAATGTACATATATATAATATATAATATATATATATATATATATATAATATTATATTAATATATATATATTATATATTAATATATATATATTTATACAACACCTCATTAATATTATATAATATACGTATATTATATAATTATATATATATCATTGTATATATATTAACACACCACACATATATATATATACATATGATATAATAAACTATAAATATTAATTATATACTATAACATATATTACATCATATTATATATATATATTATAAATATTCTAATTTATATATATATGATAATATTTATATTTGTATTTATATATATCATATATGTATTTAATATTATATATGTGGTATATATTATACTTATATAATTATATATATATATATATATATTATTATATATTATATATATATATATATATACTAATATATATATATATTATATATATATAATATATATTTACATATATCTAATGGTATATGTAGTTAATATATATTAATATATATTAATATA